TATATATATATATATATATATTCCATAAAAATATATTAATATTATATTAATTCAATTAAATTTATTAATAGTATTATTTTATAAACATTATTATTAATACTAATTATATATATATAGCTTAAATGGGTTAACAATTACATAATATTGTAAAAGTAATAATGTATTGTAATATATTAATATACTAATAATATAATTAATTTTATTTTATTAATCACATTATTAATATATTAATTTTAATATTAATTGAAGGTAGATATATTGTATAATTTTAATTTTTAGTTGAAGGTAGATATATTATTATTTTTATTTATACTTTAATGAAATTTATTAACTTAATGGTTATGTACTCCTTTAGAGGTGAGAGTGAGGGTTTATTCTCACTATTTTCTACGTTATCATGTTACGTAATTGACACGTTTTTTTTCGATGTAAACCCTCCGTTTCATGTTACGTAAATGGCACGTATTTGTCATTTTTAAATTTTATAATAATATTCTTTTTGGTACATAAATTTTATAATAATATTAATTATAGTGTTATCAATTCTATTCTTAAAATATATCTAGCTTTTAATTAATTTATACATTATAATTAATATATATTTTTATTATAAAGTAAAACAACAATTTTTTTTTATTAAAATAGAAAAGTTTATTATTGTTCTGGATTTGTGTAAAACTATTATAAAAGATTATTATCAAGAATGAGAGGTAATTATTAACACCTTACTCTTTACATAATATCAATGTCATGTCATCAAATTAACTCTATCATTAAAGTTGTATTATTGTGATGCTTATAAAAAAAAAAAAAAAAATTGTGCATTTAAGTCTCTTTAGTTTACCTTAAAGTATTAGTCTGATATGTACTTGATATCCACTGAACCCTAGGCTACTGGAATGACGAAGTCTAGTTTAGATTTTGATTTTGTTAATTACACTGTTCAGCATTGGCCAGGTAAAAGTAAGTAAGATCTCAAAATATCCGATTATATAAAAAAAATTTAACCAAAATTATAATTAATTGATTTTATAAGAACTGATTATGTGAAAAATATTATAAAATGATTATTAATCATAACCCTTTTTAATAACTAATTTTAATTTTTAAAAACTGGTTATTTAATTGGTTTTAATCAGAACCAATTTTAAAATTAAAAAAATTGGATTTTAACCTTTAAAATCAATACACATGATAAGTTTTTATTTCATGTAATCAAAATTTATAATAAATAAATACTTTTCAGTATATAAATCATATAATAATTGAATATAATAATAAATAAATATTTTTATATTATTATAGAGAGAGTTTTTTACTCAAATAATACTAGTTTAAAATTTTTTTACTCAAATAGCAATTGTGCAAATTTATTTCCCCAACTAGCACTATTTACTGTTCTCGTTTGGGAACGGACCGTTCTGAAATCAGAATGGACCGTTCCGGATTAAAAAATAACACACGGAAAACAAATCAGAATGGGTCGTTCCAAAATCAAAATTATAACATAAAAAGTGGAACCAAAACGACCTGTTCTACTTTTAGAACGGGCCGTTCTAACCTATAAATAATTTTTTTTTATTTTCACTTATCAAATACCAAAACTCAGAAACTAACATCAAATAATTAAATTTATTGAATATTAACATTATAAATATATTTAAATAAATTTATTAAAATTCAATATAACAATAAAGATCAATGGTGGCAGAAATTGATTATGTTGTTCTCTAATGTCCATTTCTGTTTTAATCTTGCTGGACTTTGGCCGACCCTTGAAAGTTCGCTTGAGTTCTGGATTTGGCCACAAAGTTGGACCAGTGTAAGTAGGCCAATAATTTTCATGTCGGAGCTCTCCAAATTGTCCTTCGTATACCTTTTTGGAACTTTGGCTGATTTCAGAATGGTCCGTTCCGAAACGTGAACAGTAAATGGTGCTAGTTGGAGAAATAAATTTGCACAGCTGCTATTTGGGTAAAATTTTTTTAAAATAGTATTATTTGAGTAAAAAACTCTTATAGAGAGTTATTTTTAATATCTCTTAATTTATTTTATAATATTATAATTTAATTTTGAAATAAAATAAAAAAATTAGAGTTTAAAATAAAATTCTTAAAAATGTACTTGTTGAAGAAAAATAATTAAAAATTTATTGTTGAAGAATAATTTCTATAAACATTCTTGTTCAAGGTAACCACTTTCTATACTATTAATAAAGATGATATGTCTTTTAAGTATATATATTTTTTGTTTATTATTTTATCACTATAAATTTCAACACTTTTTTATTATTTAGTTTTTATTACATCTTCTAAACAATTACCCAACCACTTGCACTCATTATTAATTATTTTTTCATATTGAACTTCAATTATTTTTTTTATTTTTATATTCTTTTTTTATTTTTTGAACAAAATACATGAAGGCATGCAGCTCTATATGCTTCTTTATATCTTTATTATATAAGAAGAATGTTTAGTTTCAACTAACTATATATTAAATAGATAGTGATGGTTGGTTTGAAGATTCTCAACATAATATTAAATTTTTTGTTTAATAGTCGGTCATAAGGGTGTTATTTCTTAAATACCATTTTAAACATAAAAAGTTATAAAAAAAGAAAGTATAAAAATAATACATTATTAGAAAAGTGTCATTTTTTACGAATTTTTCTAAAAAAAATATTCACATAAATGTTTTTGCGAATTTTCTTACAATAATAATTTCACAAAAAAATTTTACGAATTTATTTACGAAAAATAATTTACAAATATTTCTTACAAAATTTTTTTATCAAAAATAATATACAATAAATTTTTTCAAATTTTGTCACAATTTTAATGATCATACATAAGATAAAATAACCATAAGATAAAATTATATCTAACAAAAACCATAAGCAAATAGCTGTCTACTAACTTATATTAAAACTCAGCAGATGAAGCACAAGCACAATCTTTTCAAATTTTCATTTTGTTTTCTCTAGCAATGTTACAAAAGATTTGAAAAGGTTGCAAATTGGCTTCCAACTTCCAAACACGACCTGAGAATGTGATCAACCTCACCTTTTGAAATAAGGCTTAGTTGTTTCGTTGCTAAATTTATTTCTAGCACAAATCAAGAACTATTCCATTTGAAAATTTTCATGACAAAATGATAATATTACAATTAATTCCTGTAAGTTACTATCTATAAAGTATTAGAGTTTAGGGTTTAGGTTCAAAGAGGGATGAGGGGGATTGAAGGAGACAAGATGGAAAAGGAATAGTTACCCTTGTTTGGAATTGTAAAATTTAGAACATCAAACCAATATACAGTCTCAATTTTAGATTTTAGATTTCAGCTTAGGGCCTTGTTCTGATTTTGATATGGATAAAAAAAAGTCCCAGATCAACGATTCAGAAAACATAAGTACATAAGGAAGACAAACTGTATGCCAATTTACTTCAGGCATCATGTTTCTACCTTGCTAAAATAACAAATAGCCCCTTATCAACCTATAAGGAAAATAATACTTCTTGGTCTTGGTAACTCCTGAATTCACTGAGGCCTAAGCTTCTACCTCATACAGTAGAAACATATGAGGAGCCATATGAGGCACCAACACTTACAAGGGGTTATTATATATTTAATGAACCAACACATAACATTGTAACATCATCGGCCAACAGAATGTTAACTGATTATTATAAAACATTTTCAACCAAGCATTCAAGCAAATCTACAACCTCATCTCGCCACCCAAATTCACATTCCATGTCTACGTCTCCACAAATGCAAATACAAACAACATTGGACCACTCCACTGCTTTATTCGCATACATAACTAGAATTCTCGAACATGCAAAACTAGGTTCGGATTGAACCCAGAAACCCTTCAACAAGATTTCCATCCTTGTGAATATCTCTCTTGGGAGATTTCAGAAACCGGTCAGCAACCACAATTTTACCCACAACATCAAGGTTTTTGGGTTCTCTACGACCACATCACTACCACAATCATTGCCACATTCAAGGTTTGCAAAAACAATCCGCAACCATGATTTCAGTTGCAACATCAATGTTTTGCAATTTTCCACAATGACAAAGATCTCAACAGAACCACAACAGCAATTTAAAACCTGGCTACATTTATTCATAATTTCCCGCAATTCGAAGGATCACAATGGAATCACGATAACAATTTTTGTTTTTGATCCATTGAAATTACATTGACCACATCAGGATTCGAAATTAAGACTATATGTCTACTACCCCATATTCACCACCATGATAGCAATTTAAAACCTTGATATTGCCTATACTATAAATCAAACAACATAGCCAACAATGATGAATGAAATTAAAGAAAAAAGCAAGGTGGGTACGAATCAAATCGAACCTGAGGAACCTCAATTGGCTGATTCAGTTCACCAGGTGTGATATCTTCCAAAGGAGCCTGATCTTTAGTGAGCTTCACGTAACGCGATTGCTTCCTTTCCTCCATCTAATCAAATAAAACACAGAAAGGAGGATGAATCAGAGGGAAATGAATGTGGTTGGATGTTGTGAATTGTGATAAATAAACAGAGAAAAACACAAACGTAAATGGTGAGTTTGAGATCTAAGGAAATTGCGAAATGGATTCACCTTCGGGATGAGAGACGAACACCAACGTTGGATTCTCCGAACCAAGGAAATTAATTGAGAGCGGTGTAAGTTATGTTTTTCACTTTTTTTTTTCTTTTCTTTTTAGTGCCTTCAGTGTCACGGGAACGGAATATGAGAACTCGTGGCTACTCACTCCCCTCGTCGTCTTCACTCTTTCATGTGTCTTCATAATTTAAGAGTGGCCACGCGTGTCATTTATTCCCATATCATAAGTTTTATGATTCACTTTATTTTTTGATATATATTATAATTAATTTTAAATTTTATTATTATTACTATTATATATATATATATATATTTAATTACTTTTTATTATTAATTTTTAATTAAAAATTATTATTACACTTTTTAAAGGTTTAAAGTGTATTTTCACTTTAAGAAGTTAAATCCTAAATTTTATTATCTTAATTATGTTTGTAGTTCTAAATTTGAGTTTTAATCTTTCTATATATTTTTTTTATTCTCAAATTTAAATTTGTGTTTTTATCTCCAAAATGTAAAAAATTATTATTTTAATTTCTTAAATTTAAAATTATTTTTTATTCTAATTTTTAAAATATTGTTTTGATTGCTAATATCATAACTGGTAATAATAAATGAGAGGAATTAAAATAATAAATTTTCATATTTTGAGAATTAAAATTATAAGTTTTAAATTTGAGAATTAAAAAAATATTTTTAAAAAAATATACGAATTAGAAATACAAGTTATAAATTTGAAAGACAAAAATATATATATTTCGATTTTGAAATAAAAATATATTTAAATTTGATTTTTTTATATAATTTTTTATCAATATTTTTATCTTATATAACTGAAATTAATGAAACAAATTAAGATAATTATATTTATAATAAATAAGTATTTTAAATATAAAAATTATATTATAATTAAAATCTATAATAAATAAATATATTTTATATTTATAGTAAATAATGTATATTATGGTAATTTTTAAATATTAAAAATTTTATTTAAAAATAAAATATTAAATTATAAGAAATAGGAAATTAAGAAAAAAAAATTAAAATCGTTCTTCTTAAATAAAACAGATAAATACACTTTCTTCCGCGAAATTCTTAATATAAATATTTTTTTGAATAACTATTCTTATTTATGTATGAAAAAATTAAACTAAGACCAATTTTCAAAAAAAAAATATTTTGGCTAATTAAAAATTGAATTAATATAAATATATTTTTGGTGCTTTTGGATCATGTCATTATGTCACACGATAAAAAAATTGAAAAAAGATGAAATTATTATAAAATAAAAGAAAGTTGACTAATAATGTTAAAATTAAAACTATAGAATTATACAACACAAAAATTATAGAATAATAAAATTATAGAATTACACAATATAATTTTTTTTTAAAATAATTAGTATAACTCGTGAATATTGGGAATACAATTTATAATTTGTTAATATATTTCTCAATCAAATTTGAACTTTCTATACATATATTAATAAATTAATATGTAGCACTCGTCAAAAAAAATATTAATAAATATGTAAATAAATATTTCAAAATATTATAACATAACTATAAATACTATTATATGTTAAAATAATTTTATATTCATATATATTTTGTATTATTTTAATTTATATAGGTGTTTGTTTCAAATTATTGTATATAAAATGCACTTAAACCTATTATTCTTTATCATGATAATAACAATATAAAGGATTCACACACACGACTTTTTTTTATTAATTAAGGAAAAAAATAGCATTTTGAGAGAAATAGGATTGGTTAATAAAACAAATAATGTTTGATTAGTGAAAGACACGTCTTGTGAGTACATATTAGTCTTTAATTAAATATTATATAGAAATTAATTTTTTTTCTCTTATTTTAAATCACCAATTGTTGTTAGGTTAATTCAAAATTAAGGAAACATACATGCAAAATTTTGAATCCCAAATGTTTAATGGAGTTGTTAATTGTTTCATAGAATTGTTAATTTGTGTTCATAGATCATTCCCAAAAATAAACTAAGATGCACATTCAAAATTGATGAGTTTATCATGCAAAAAAAGAATTGTTAAATCAAAAGATGATCTAGATTCCTTAAACGCAAAGTTCTAATGTTAACAAACAAAGCGTTTTTATAAAGAAGAAATGTCTGTAAAAACATCTTTAAAAAATATCTTTGAAAAGTTTATAAGATAACGTAAAACATAGATAGTCTATGAGATGTTGTAAATCAGACGGAGCATATAGTATGTTTCATATACATTGAATGTTTATTATTTATTAAGACTGACGACAAAATTTGTATTAAATATTTTATTCCTTAACAGATCAAACTAGAAAGCCATCCTAAAACTCACAAATCTGTTAAAAAAATAATCATGCTCTCTGTCATAACCAAAATCCTTGAAATCAAAGAAAAAAGAAAATAAAGTCACTGATATAGTTGCTCTGTATTAACATTGCTTCTACAAGCTTTGTTTGGTATGAAAAGTTGATAAGTAGCCTCCTTTATTAGGTAAGAGGTATCATGTGGTGAAATGCATTTAATGCTCGCGTTAAACGAGTTGAACGATCACTTGCCATCATAAGGAAAAACAATAAAGAAAAACAAAATAAACTTATGAGTTGGACTTAAAGTGTTACAATGGTTATCTTCTCTAAGCTATTATATAAGAATATTCAAATCTCAAGCCAAAAAAATATATATATAGAATTTACACAAGAAAAATGCCATATATATATTTATACAGAAACATACTCTTTGTAAATTTATTCTTTATTGTAAACATACATTGTTCTATACTGGTTATATAACGTCTAAGTGAGATGAACACATGTAACCTTCATAGCCATTGTTATAAGGTTGAGCCTAAAGAAGCTTGTCTGAAAAAGAATATTTCTTTTGAGCCTAAAGAGCTTGAATGTAAAAGAATACATGTTGTTACGCTTAAAGAGGCTTGTTGATAAAAGAATACTTAGGTAGTTGCTTGAAGTGGCAAGCTAAAGAATTAGGATTGAGTCAGAAGTGATTTGTTGAAAGAATAATTGTATCTTTGTTTAAAGATAGTGGAACTCAATCTGATTAGATTGTGAATTGGATATAGTCTCAATGCTTGAAACGAATCAGTACAAAAATTCTCAATGTTCCATTTGATAATTCTTCATACTCCATCTGACTAGAGTTACTATTTCACCACAAAAAATTGTGCGAGTTTTTTATATACATTATTTAACCCTCCCTTTCTAGTGTTTATCTTTTCTCCACAAAAACACTAAGAAAAATTTAATTACACAAAAAAATCATAATATTAAATTGGGATCAACAAAATATAATCTACTTTACAAACCTAGAAAAGACAATTAGCTAGACATCATAAGCAAAAACCCTAACATCTTACCAATACTCATAACTCAAGAAAAATAGATTAAATGTGGTTGGGAAACTCTTCTCAATGGATTGTTTTGAGTCTCTTACAAATCTTTAACAACGAACAAAAGTGATAGGAAAAGAAAAGTGTTAGTCCCAATAGAACATGAATCTAGAAGGGGGTTGAATAAATTTTTCACTTAGATGGTTTCCTATGGTCTTTCAAAAATTTTCCTTATTCTCTTCTTTCTTATCCCAAATTCAATTAATCAAATTTAGATCACAAATCAGTAATAAGATACAAAATATCAGATATAGCGTGCAGCGGATCAAATACTTGTAATCCACATTGATTTTAGAAATTACCTTCTTTCTTTTATTATTACCAAATTGCATATATGATGAACTGAATATGAACAACAATTGATAACATATAAAGAAACATTTTCTTGAAATTATTTTTAACAAATATCACAAGATTATAATAAAATTATATCAAGAGATGAAGGTTAAGAGAGAATTACACAATGATCTATACTGGTTCAGCCATATAAGGGCCTACATCTAGTTTCTGACTTAGCACACCACTAAATTATCTCTATTTTGAATTCATTGTGTAGGTATTCAAAAATTCACATCCATTTTCCCATGAAGACATGAAAGATATTTGTAAAAGATAGGCATCATCTTTTCTTAAGGCAATTCAAGATTGATTGATGTTTTGGTACATTGTTTTAGTTTTATTTGTGTACATTATTATTAATTAATGACAATTATTAACTTTAGGATTGATTTCTAATGAAGTTTAATTTATACATTGTTTCAATTTAAATGATAGATATTGTATATTATGTAGTTTTGTATTAAATTGGAGAACAATATATTAAATTGAATTGCCTAGAATGTACTGGAATATATATTTGTTATGCAAGTTTGGAAAAATTCAAAAAATGAACAATATATTAAAAAAATGTATTTTATGACAGGTGTGACATTACTCATCATAGAATATGCACATTCTTTGATGAATAACATCACACCTATTATAGAATATGGGTGGCAATATATCAAATTCACAACATGTTGTACCCCATACTATAATGAACGTTAATCATCCAGCATAGAAAGTTTACTTTCTATGTCACTTGTTGACCCATTATAGAATGTGTAGACATTCTATGTTGTTGAAATCTATTTCCTATCCTAAGTCTACATAGAATATCCAAAAACACCCACATGGAATGTCCCATCTACACTAGTGCATGGTTCTGATTTCCAATTCAACCAACCTCCGATTTGTGTTTAATAACACTACTAGAGCTTTGTAGTCCAAGTTGAAGACGTGTTTCTTTTAAAGAAATGGTTCTCCTTTAAAAGTGTTGCGAACATGATATGGAGTGAGCGCTTCATACTTTCCATAAATGGTTGTGTTTGGGTTCAAGTGATCGAGACATTGAGTTGGCACCTAAGTCATGGGTGGTCACCTAGAGTGTACTTCGACCTAGTTCTAGAAGGGTGTGTTGTATCATGGAGGTAGGCGGCGAACTAAATCCATCGAGGGCTTAATTTTGTAGACTAATATTGTGGTAGACTCACATCTAAGTTGATCAGTTGGGGGCCTAAGACCTTAAGTCAATGGGAGAATTATATTGAAAAAATAAGGGTAATTGTTATATATGAAAATATAAGCATTATTATTACATGAAAAGTGAAACATTTTTCTTCCAAAACATTTAACTATTTACATATATCAAAATAATTAAATAAAATGATTTTTTACCTTTATTATCTTAAAATTTTAAACATTCGGAGGATGTTTCGGTAAAAAATTTTTTTGAAGGATATATCATTTCTGATTGTAAATATATCAGTACCTCAAGGCTCAAACATCGCTTTACTAAACGCGCTTTGCTTTTGATTCGTTACGTGGATTGGCAACAGAATAAGCTTTGTATGTGTAACAGAAACTGAAATCAGATTTAATTCGAAGATAAGTAACCTCATGCTTTATTGGAGAATGTAACTTTAGAAGGTGAAAAATACCTCTCTAGAAATCTGTCAATGTCACCTAATTGAACTCATGCATCTTATTACTAGTGTAATAGAGGTTAAGGAAAAGAAAATGCAACTGAAATTTAAATTTTCGAATCAAAAAAGATCTTAATGAAGCAGCATTGCTTCCAAGAAAAGAAAGTATAACAGATTGATAGCGTGGCTATAGGCTAATCCCATCTGATCTTGCAACCCCGTGCATTCATTGCCTCGAGCATTTCTGAGGAAAGCAAGAACCTGAGGGACCTCTTAAGTTTAACCTTTTTAATACGACCACAGCAAGCTCTAAGGGCAAGTTCCAATCCTTTGACAGTGACTTTAGAAAGACACACCAGTTTGGCATCCTGGAGGCGTTTCAGGTTACCCATAAGCAGGCACAACACCATATCTGAGACAATACAGTAGCTCATATTTATCTGCCATCATCACCACTATGTCCAGTTAGAACATAGAATTACGTCCCCCAATCCTAACATAAAAAATGTTAGCAACACACTTTCTGACACATTCTCTCTAATTAATTGAAATTTATTGAAAAGCATAAAATTTGATGATGCTCTCACCCTATTTAATGAGTTTCTTCCCTAATTTCGTAATTTTCAATAAATTCTAACCAATGAGAGGGAGTGTGTTAAAAAGAGTGTATTGCTGGCACTTCTGATCCTAACATAACAGTATTTCCATCAATTACAAGCTGTTTTAATGTAAATAAATATCAATGTTTAACCTATTTGAAGAATAATAACATGTGCACTCCTACAAAATATATATATATATATATATATATGGCAAAATGGATTTGTTTAACCTGTTTAGATATAACTAGTTGTTGGCCCGCAAAAAAAACGAGTCGAACTAGGTTGGCTCGCTAGAAGAAAATGGATCAGATAGATTGGCCTACCTTGCATAAGGGCGGGTTGGCGCCAAAATGGAGAAAAAAGAAAAGAAAAAAAGTTTGTACATTTATTGATTTATTCTACTAATAGACAACAATGTTCAAATGATGATGTATGTTAGTTGTATAAACCGATTTAGGTGTTGTTTTATGAATTTGTATGTATTTATATTTGTATTTTTATTAGGATGTTGTAACCCTATAAGGAGATTTTCTTTTACTATTGATGACCTAGATATTGTCTTTTATTTTTCGGTTCATCGTTAAGATCCCAAATATATTCATATTAAATATTCATGATGTTCACGTTATGTTTTACATGGAAAACATAAGGGAGAAAATTTATCAATTGTGTGTTATTGTACCAATGTATGATCTATTTGGTCGTTATATAGACCTAATGGTAAGGATTGGAGTGGTATGCAAAATAGACAACAATGTTCAAACAATGATGTATAGTGGTTGGTAACTAAAAAAAAAAAAAAGAGATAATAAAATATGTTACCGCAAAATACATTTTAATATCTTATTGGACACAAATAGTGGTTCATGGGAGATTATCTATGTGGACCACCTTAGTCTTGGTCTATTTTACTATTGTAATATTTTTATAATTTATTTTGTATTTATTTTTCTTTATTATCTTATTATTTTACTACCAAAAAAAATCTTTCTTCTCTATTCTCTCTTTTAATTATAAAAAAAAAAGGTAAAACGTATATGAATAAAATTAAAATTTTTGGATACTAAATGATGGAACATGACAGGCGTGAAAGACTATAAGCAGACGACAAAGTCAATAAGTCAATTCTGCGCTCTGCCAACTAACGAAGAAAAAATCGTTGGAGCCTCATTTGGTGTTAGACTTTGAAAATTGTCAATACTTCCAAAATATCTTGTTCCCTTAACGCGTTTTATATATACATATATTGGCCACACTACTCTTTGGAATTTCCAAATTATTCAAATATAATTTCCTTTACTGTGCTTCAACTTCAACTCTTGCATTGCTGATACTCATTTTGCTCAACATGTCTACACCAGCAGAGTACTCTCTCTCTCTCTCTTTCAATTTCTCTTTCTCCTGAAGAATAAAAATGGCAACTCATCATAGAGCTTACATATTTAATTTCCTTTTATGCATATAATAATATACATGATCAACTACCATCCTTTTTATATTGAGCGATTATTCAGATACTTAAATTTCATCATAATCATCTTAATTATGCATAACTCTTCCTTCCAATTTCCTATGGTCATGATTTCTTATCCATGATGGTTATGTGAGGGGTTTAGGATGGCTTTATGTAACTAATAAAATTATTATATTACCAAGAAAATGTAAGCTTAGTTCTTCATTGTATATGCATATATACCAACATTGAACCAAATAAGTTGCAATAATAGTCACACATTCTGCCCTCATATCTTATAGGAACAATTTTTTTAATGAGAAATTTAGGTTCAATTTTCACCATAAACAAAAATTTATTAGACTGATTATGATCACAGTACTGCTAGCGAAAATAATTTCTGGTCCAATAAACTAGAAGATATCTGTTGTAGAACTAGAAATAACACTAACATAGGCACAAAATATTTGTGAAGTATATATGAGTTTCTATAAGTTTTCCTAGACAAATAATTAAAATTACCTGTTTTTCAGATACTACCGGTCTCTACCACCTGTGAGCAAGACCTATGGGGTGGCCTGTTTGATGACCACTGCTGCATATTATCTGCAACTTTATGATGCATGGAACATAGCACTTGATTATGGCAAAGTCTTTAAAAGCTTTCAAGTTTGTAATCCAAAAACTTTTCTGTATTATGATCCTTAGCCATTAATATATCTATACATTAATCTGTATCATTTGAATCACTCTAGTAAGATAAATTACTCATTCTCAACAATCACAAGAGAAGAAAGAGGGGGAAAAAAAAGGGAATTAAAGAGGTAAAATGTATTAAATTTCTTCTTTAAGATAAAAATTAATTTATGCATCTGATAAAAAATTAAGGAAAGTTTGGAAAAAGTTAAATTAATTTTAATTTAAAGGGTGGGTTTGATTCATCATATTTTACCTCCTTGATTGGATTTTTTGTTTTAACCACATAGTATTTGGTCAAATAAAGAAGAATATATATAGTGAATTTAGATAAATTTCTTAAAAGAAATTTTTCTTTATCATCTTTGTTTATAACTATCTGCTGCAGGTTTGGAGGCTTCTCACAAACTTCTTCTTTTTAGGCCCGTTTTCAATACCCTTTGCAGTTCGTCTAATAATGATGTAAACAGCTTATAAAACTTACATCTCATTCTCTTAATTAATGATCACAGCCATGTTATATCCTCTTAATTAATCCCTAATGAGAGCATTATATTATAATTGTAAGATAATTTCAATTTTTCATTGTTTATAATATATAATTGTTTGAATATTGAATTGTGTAGAGCAAAATATGGTGTTTCATTAGAAAGAGGGCCTTTTGACAAGAGAACTGCTGATTATGTTTGGATGTTCATATTTGGTGCATTCTCGCTTCTGGTAAGTGTCAAGAGTCGCTGTTTATATATATAACTTTTTGAGAAATGAAAAATGCTTAATGATTTCATTTTCTTCCCATTTTATTTACAAAATCTGTTTGTTAATAGAAAAATATTATATTATAATTTTGATTCTACTTACTAATAAATTTTTAATAGAATTTTATTATAGCAAAATTATTAATATAACTATAGTATTTTTCACTGGACTTTAAAAATAATTACCATAGGTCTAATATTTTTTATTAGATATATTTTTTTAATTTGAATTTTTATTAAATTTGAGATTTTTAAATTTTTACAATTTATACGTTCTAAAATATAAAATTGATAGAAGTGTAAATACAAGTCAATTTATTAGGGTGTTTAATACACGAAAAGTTATTACTTTCTTAAAAATTTGATGTCTGAAATATTAATTTTTCACATTTAATTTGATATTTAAAAAATAACATTAATAGAAAATATTGTTTTTCAATAATATTCTTTTATAGATTTCACACAAAATTATTTTTATGAGAGAGGTGATAAAGGAACTTTTTTGAGATAAAATAAAATTTTAATGCGTTTAAGAATATCATATTACCTTTATTTATTTATTAAATGCAATAGAAATTCTTGATTTCTTAAAATTTATAAATATTTTTTAGAAATATTTATGATAAACCAAACAATTTTTTATAATTCCAAAGATTAATAATTCTCCTAAATTGATTCCCGGCATAAAAGAATTTGTTTTATACTAAATGTCCTCTTAAAATATATTTAAATATATTTTTATTTGTTTATAGAAGAAGTATCATATTTCAAACTATCACAAATTGTATCTCAACACTTTATAATTAAGAAAATTTCACATTGTCACATCTAATTAACAATTTTCTTATAATACTTATTATAAATTTAAGTAGATTATAAAGATTATAACTTTGATTCTACTTGCTTATAATTTTTTAATAGAAATTTATTATATATAAGCTATTACTATAAGTCCAACACTTCTCGCTAAACCCTTAAAAAAATAATCACTATGGGATGATATTTTTGTGCGTTTTGAAAGCTTAAGGTCTTCTTATATAAGAGAATAGGATGCATGAGATTATTGTTAGCAACCCACAGATTGAAAAGTTTCTATATATTGAAAAAAAAATACAATAAGCATAAGTTGGCATTAATTTTTGACAGTTAACAAATGAATAAGATTAATCAGAGGGGTAAACTATAGTTAAACATATTTAGTGACTAACAGTTTTATATATCCTCCTCTAATTAAGGTGATTACTGCTGTGCCATACTTTATGTTTCCATTCCTGGGAATTTCTTTAGTTTTCATGATCGTCTATGTTTGGAGCCGGGAGTTTCCAAATGCACGAATCAACATTTATGGTGTTGTATCATTGAAGGTATGCATTAATTCCAATCAATTTTCTTTGCTAATCTTGCTTCTTTATTTTGATCATTTGCTTCAGGTTACAAGCATGTTTCTTTTCCAGCTTATTTCTGTTGTAAAACATGACATTTTTAAGATAAAGAAACAAATACATATTCTAAAACCACGTGTACTTATAAATTTGGAAACGTCATTAGTTATATTTTATTTTTTTTAAACAGTTGACATAAGTGATAATGATTTCTGTTATTTAACTAAATTATCCATGACTCGAATTCTAATTTTAAATATGAAATCTATTAACTGTTAAAAATATAATGTCTCATTTTCGTGTATATATTTACTTTGATCCTTTTATCTCTTAACAATAATATATATGTTAATTATTAAAGAGTAAATTTTGAAAACAAAATAACTATTACACAACCTTTTAAAAAGTAAAGTAATTGCTTGCCTTTTTTTTTTTTTACTCTTTTCTTATTTTATCTTTTATCTTTTTAAACACAGGCACAGAGAGGCTCATTTTTTCTAGTATATTATAATAGGAAAAGAATATTTACTTTATTTACATTTATAATATTTAATGAAGATTAATTATTATTTTTAATGATAAATATATTGTATACATGCATAAAACATTATTATTTTTAATGATAAATATATTGTATACATGCATAAAAAATATTATATTTTAAGTATATGTCATGTATTTTGCACTAAATTATCAACTTCAGTGCGTTTAATCCTAAGCGTATGGTTCAGCGATAAGGGTTGATCCACACTTAAGTAAAGTCAGGGGTTCGAATCCTGTCTTGTGTATACAGTTGCATTAAATTTTAGAGTCAATTATCCTACCCTTTAAGGTACCTCTAACGTAACGAGAAAATTAGTCATCACTATTAACGATGGATGGATGAAAAAAAAAAAAAAAAAAACTTCAGTGCGTCTAAGAACAATAGAATGTGCTTTATTAAAGGGTGTTTCCTTTTGTTTGGTTTGGGATTTGATAGAATAACAACTGATTTTTATAGTTAATGCAATTTGTTGCTGATTGAGCTAGTGATTGCCCAACTTTTTCTGTGTGTGCTTTTCTTTTCCACTACACAATTTTAGACAAGTTCTGTGAAACAAATTAACTTTTTTCTTTTGTTTTTCTTGTTCTGTTTATTTTTTTTTACAACTTATTATATTAATACCACTGACATATTAATAATACTCACGGAATTTCAGTGAGACAGTGACTGTGGTAAGTAAAGTCCGTCATATGATGATTTATGAGTACTTTGTATTATAATTATTATACAAATATTTTTTAGGTAGCGATATTATTTATATGATATATTATTGATTTAGTTGATTATTAATTAAATTTTTGATAAAAAATTTCATCTATCATTTTTAGTTGATTCTCTCCTTTTTTATTATATTTTGTCTATAAATTTTTTTTTTATTATATTATTATACTATGATATGATCATTCATAAGTGGAATTGTTTAAATTTTATTAATCCATTTTGCTTTGCAGGGGTTTTACCTTCCATGGGCTTTGCTTGCTCTGGATTTAATATTTGGAAATCCCATAAAGCCAGACATTGTAGGTATGCTTGCAGGACACCTATATTACTTCTTAACAGTGCTTCATCCTCTTTCTGGGGGAAAGTTCAAATTCAAGACTCCTCTTTGGGTGTATCCTTTTTTATCAGGTTCCTGTGGCCACAATATTATATCAAATTGCATTTATTTTCACACTTGTCAAATTTCATTTCAAAATGCCACCATGATATATGTTAACACTCTCACCCATGAAAGTGTATCACTCAATACACATTAGTGTTGCAAGGATCACACATTTTACATCTCCAAGTCCAAATAACTGTAATCTTAGTTAAAAATTAAAAAATATAAAAATAAAATAAAATCTAATTTCCTAATTAACAAGTATCTATAACATATATAAAGACGATAATTTAATTTAGTGTACATATGTTTTAGACAATTTTACTCTTAAACTTTTTAAATAATAAAAAAATAATATTAAAAATTAATTATTCTTACAAATATAAGACCCGAACTCAAAATCTTAAGACTTGAAGATCAAATACAATATTAATTGATCTAACAAACATTAATAATTCTTAAACATCCTTTATTAATAAAATAAAAAGACACGAAGTGTCTTGATCCTATTAGTATATATAATGTAGAATTTATATTAACGAGTCTCCTCTATTGTTTGAGTTATATAACCTACAACCATAGATTAAGTGCATTATGGTCTAAAACTAGAGAAGGGAGAGAGCAAGAGAATATAGGTGCCATTGAAAATCATTTATCAACATGGTATAGTATAGTTCAAGAAGAAAAAAAGAAAAAAGGACATCATATAATACATCAAGTTCTTTTTTTTTTTTTCACATATCATACACACTACAGTTTATTTTAAGTTTAATTATCTTTCTCTCTCTATAGTTTTATGATTTTTATTCTTATACTTTATTATTTAATTTTAATTTAAGTAGTTTCATGAATTTTATATTTGTCTTAATAGTAATTGAATACAAGAACTAAGAAAAAAAAAATCACATATATAAAGACTAAAATGAAATATTTTTAGCAATAAAAACTAAAAGTTAATATAATAAAGTTTATGAAAAAAAAAAGTAATTAAACCTTTATATATTTTTCTTTAGAGTGAAGCATTCTTGTAATCCTTAATTATGTACTACATCAGTCACAAAATAGTGGCATATTGGGGAGAGGGTACCCAAATAAACTCCCCTGTGCAATCTAATCCATTAGCTGGAATTGTATTCAGAGGAAGAAGCCAACGTCTTGGTGGGACACAGACAACAACAACAACAACCACTAATGACCAAACTCAAGGGAATGCTTCTGCTTCTGCTTCTGCTTCTGCTTCTGCTTTGCAGAGACAAGGTGATGGAATTGCTTTTCGTGGAAGAAGTTATCGTTTAAATGGATGAGTCTGTTCTTTAAAATGATATCTTCAATCGTGACTCTTAACTTCATTGTTGATTAAAGAGTAAAAGTGTTGAACTCAAGTTAGAGTTAGCAAGACTATATGTTATGTTACAAAATTCACAACACATTGAATGTTCTTGTGTAGTGAATCTTTTAACAGAAGTTGAGATTCTTGCCTCTTGTTAATTACCATTGCCTTAACCATGAGTCTCCTATGTATTCCATCTATTTCTGATGAACATTTTCAGAACTACATATGTTAATTTAAGGGTTCAACAAGTTTAAAGGGTTCTATTTCTAAAAAAATAAAACTAAAAATAAAAAGTCTAAAGGGTTAGATAATTATTTAACTAGAATTCATCTCTTACTCTTAGTCCAAGTTTGAAATTAGTGTTCGTTTCTATTGGCAAATTTCAAATTAGTCTCTTAGTAAATTGGACATAGAATTAGGTATGAAATTGGAAATGGAAATTGGAATTATAATTATGAAATTTGCAAGTATATTTAAAATTTGAAGCATTCTAAGAAGAAATTTCATGAAATTCCATATAAATAAAATTAATCTTTGTATATTGATAATTTTATTCTCTTTTTTTTTTTTTGTAACAATTCATGTTTGTGAAATTAATCTTTCTAAATTAATCATTGTAATTTTATTCTCTAAATTACAATTCATGCACGCTAGGTATAATTATTTTCTCCTTCCATAAAATAAAAAGGTAAAAAAAATTTCTTTGATCATTTTATCACTTTTATCATTATTATTATTATTATCATAATTAACTATCATCATTATTAAATTACCAGTTTTACTTCATTCTTATTATAACCGAAGAAATACATTTTGTGCTTCATATTCCGTTAAAAAAGAGAGATTAATTAACAATTTTTTTAATAATTTATGCTGATATTAAAAATTATATGTTGTTATCAAAAATAAAAAAATATATATATATAAAAGTGGGTACCAACTGAATTAATTTTCTTTAATATTAATATTGAATATAATTAGTGCAACCAATCACTATTGTCAACGGTTGTTATTTTGCGACTGTCTTCGATGTTCCCTATCCCTTACCTCATAAATTTTACCGTCACCAAATGCTCATGAACAGATTTTTTTTATTACTCAAATTCGAATCTTATTTATGATTATCCATAACTAATTAAGGATGTTAAAATGGAACCGTAGTCCAATTTCAGAATTATAATTTTATGTTTTAATTTTTTTCATATAGTCCAAACATAGATATCATAATTTTGGAATGCTTTCTAATTGCATCCACCAAATGAAACTTATTTACAATATTTCTAACTCCTCTGGCGTTGATTCAATGTCACGTGTGATTGACACACAATGTACCATATAGTTTAGAGTATTTCTTATAATCATTTTTTTATTGTGGAATGTTAGATGCTTGATTGCTAGAGTATATTTGCGTTATTCATCGAATAAAAGCTTAGTTTATAATTAATATATTTTAAATAGCTTGATGAAATATTTGTGTGTACAAAACTCTAACTAATGTCTTATTATCATTATTATTATTACTATTATTATTATTATTATTATTAATAAGTTTAAATATAATTTTTATTTCTATAAGTTACTTTCTTTTTTTTTTACTTTTAGTTCCTGAAATTTTTTTGTTTCATTTGTAATATTTTATAACATTTTAAAAAATAGGTCTTACTGTCAACTTTTATTAACAAAATTCTATATGATAAAAGAAATACATATTATATACATTATATTTTATTTCATCATTACCTTGTAGGTAAATTGATTTTAAATTTTTTAGACAATTTTAAGATGTACTTCACTGTACTCAAACCTCACCCTCACATTTACGATCGCTTTTCTCATCTTTGATCCAAAATCCAACATCACAAACTCAATACCTCACAATTCCAACCTCAATCCCTCTAATGAGGAGTAACTTCTCACAATTTGCAATCTCAATAACATCGAGTTCATCCTTAGCAATCACTGCCTTTGCAAGGTCGCCACCAATTGCTACCTCACCATGGAGAAGTTCGACCTCACACTCGGCTACTCTCCCATTGTGTAGGAGCATATGCACTGCTAGAGCATCCACAACTCCACTAGCATCGTTGTCAATACTGCCTCCTCCAAAGTCAATAAGAACTGAGTTGGTTGGCTTAAGACATTAAGACTGTCACCACCTACAATAATCGCCATAGCAACAACAAACAAAACACCTCATCATAAAAGGGAGGCTGATGGTCCAGCTTTGCCATCGGTGACAACCAGTACACACCATTCCACAACCTGGAGAAAGTGCACGTGAAGAGTATGATGAAGTGACACAATGAAATGCATTTTGAAATTTTGTCTAAAAAAATTATTTTAAATCAATTTATCTACGTTGAAATTTTGTGTGAAGGTAGTTCGGCCTTTTACATGTTGGTCCTATATCTTTTACCTTCACTCTTGTATCTCAAAATTATTGTATTATTGAATTGTGTTGAATCCTTTATCTTTTCCCTTTGCATTATTTTCCTCTTTTATTCTTCATTTTCTTTCTTTTTATTTGCATTGTTCACCTAGTATACAATGTTGGTTCGATTCAAATCATAGTTGTTGCAATTCTATTTATCAATTAATAGAGAAGAAAAAAATTATAGTTCAACTGACACACTCCACATTTCACTAGGCTGTAGTTTTTTGATTTGTGATCTTAGATTCGTTAATCGTTGAGTCGTACTAAAAATTGATCAGTAGGCTTCAACGTAATTCTTTGATCTGATTGTTCGGATTTTGTTTGAAGGTTCATAGTGGGAGAAACTCTACTTTCACAAAAACATCCTTTTTTTTTGTGTTATGCACAAATCAAGTTCTTTGTTCTTTTTTGTGATTGTAAGTGGTGACTAATGAAAGAGGTGATTCTCTTTGATCTATTAGTGTACAATTGAATGAACATAATTACTCATATTAGTGTTATGTGTTGAGAATTTTTTGAAAGGCATGACAGCGTGGGGTATCTGTTTAGAACCTTTATTAAGCCTATAGATAAACATGATGGAAAATATGAAACAAAGTTGGAATCCCGAGGAAGTTAACAATTCAAAGATAATTACTTAGATCAACAACTCTATTTCATAATCAATAGGGGTTCAACTTGCAAAATATGAAACATTAAAGGCAGTTTGGGGTCACTTAGCACTTAGACAAATTGTATGTGTAGTCCAACTTTGCAAAATAATATTGATTGAAGATTGACATTTGGACCGTTCAACAAAATAGTATGAGCATTCAAAAATTTTATTTAATCATGTCCAATTTATGGGATCAATTGACATTTACTTAAACTATTGAACTTCAATTTTTCAAATCACATATTAATCGAAGAGAAGAACAACATTTGGTTTAGTTCTTGATGGCTTTTCCGGATGATTTTAAAGGAGTTTGTGCAACCATAATACATCATAATCCTTTTCCTATAGTTGATTCAATGGTTAATGAATTGTTAGCAAAAAAAAATTCATCTCAAGTCTCAATTTGAAAAAGGACATGTGGGAAAAGGGGATTTTGTGCACCCTTAATCAATTGTTTTTACATTACCTTCCAACAAAAGCAAATCTAGTTGAAGGGTTAATTATCATGAATGTAGCTTTTACAAGAAAAAAGGTCATTGAAAAGCTAAATGTCCAAAATTTTTAAACAAGTCACAATTGCCATCTTAATGGAAGTCTCCAAATCAATTGGTTCAACAATCTTTCAAGTCTGAACACCAAATATTGTTGCAGTTGTTCCTCTATCAAACACTTTTGATGTTGGACATGCACATTTCGATGAAAGCACTTCCTTGTTTGGACTTTTAGTATTCACTTTTGCAAAACAATTTTATAAGTTTCTTGCATCACAACAATATGCCTTGTCTACACCTCCTAACATAGGTTTTCTCTTTTCTAGCTCTTCAAGTATATTTTCTCACATTTGGATTCTTAACTTTGAAGCCTCTCATCATATGTCATGATTTTATATCATTTGTTTCCCTACACCTTACATCACACATGTTAGTCAAGATTGTTGATGGAACTCTTATGCAATTAGAAAGCATTAGGATTTGTCTCTACATCTCATTTGTCTATTTTAGATGTTTATTATATTCCTAATTTCACTTTGAGCCTTATTTATGTTAGTCAATTATGTGACTCTAGGTACCTAGTTTTGCTTTCTTCTACCTCTTATCATGTGCAAGATCTACAATCCAAGAGGCTAATTGGAACCAACCATGGACAAGGGGGTTATATATTTTGGATGAGTTGCATGTTCCAGAAGTTGCAACCTCTAGTGTTGATTTGTCATTTTTTCGCTCAAATTCATCTTAATCTAACTTTTATTTGTGGCATTCTCATTTTGGTCATGTTTCTTCTCCTAGAATAAAGTAATTGGCTTCTATAGGAGCCTTAAGAAAGATGCAAACCAATGAGATTTCTAATTGTTATGGTTGCAAACTTGCAAAATTTTTCGTTTTACCTTTTCGTAAAAATATTTCAATTTTTGTTGCACCTTTTGACTTGATTAATTCTAATGTATGGTGACCATCACCTATTTCTACTAAAGGTGGATATAAATATCATGTATCTTTCATTGATCATTGTACTCGTTATTATGGGGTTTATCTCATGAAACATTGTTTTGAGTTCTTTAGTATATATAACGTTTCATGATTTTGTTAAAACCCAACATAATTCCATCATCAAGTGTTTCAAATGTGATCTAGGTGGTGAATATATTTGTAAAAAATTTTGGGTGTCACTTAATTCTGATGAACTATACAAAACATCTTGTACTGATACTCCTACACAAAATGGAGTTGCTAAAAGAAAGCATCACCATGTGAGTTAAACTACTCATTCTTTTTCTTTTGTCTAATTCTATTCCAAGTGAGTTTTGGGGAAGAGATGTCATTATTGTTGTCCATGTTATTAACTGAATTCCACCCTTTATTACTTCAGGTTTTTCTCCTTTAGAAAAACTCTATGGTTGTGTTCCTAATTATTTTGTCTTGAGAGTTTTTGGCTCTACTTGCATTGTCCTTTGTCCACATATAAAACATAGTAAATTGTCATCTCACTTTGCAATGTGTCTTGAGAGGTTTTGGCTTTACTTGCATTTCCCTTCGTCCACATATAAAACATAGTAATTTGTCATTATGCTCAACAATATCTATGCTTCTTGATTATGGTAACATTCATAAAGAATATCATTGTTATGATCGTGTACCTATAACAAGTTTTATGTTTGC